AACTGTCGTTCAAATCTGCTGTGACAAGCTCCCCTATTGGAACAAGGCAATCCTCATCGTTTGACATACAGCGCGAACAAAACAGTTATGCATATCTGGATTTTCACCATCGAGAGCGACACGAATATAGACTACGAAAGGCTTCTAAAACGTTGGTGTCAATCGACTATTCACACTGTTAGCATTTTGATAGCACGCAAAGTTGACTTTCGAGCTCTCGAAAATTGAAGGTGTTGAAAATATGACCCTCCATAACGGTTTGGTTGTTCACACTATATATCCCTTCTAGTATCGCTTACCCTAGCCACAAAGCCCGCTAGATTATCACTAAGATAGGGACCGCCCGCGACCAGGATCTTATTCAACAACCCCACTGTATGGCAACCAGTCGCCTCGTTAGGACCTGAGATGTTCTTCCTCCCAAATGAGATCAAACTAATCCGAATATATACCATAAAAAACCCACAAAACTTTGGAACTCCACCCGTTTCACGTGAAGTAGTGTAATATTCCATGTAAATTATAAAACGTATATGTTTTCCCGAGTAAATTATGAAATATGTTTCTCACTAGTGTTTTTCATATCACTAGGGTGAAACTCCAATATAACCATAAATTTATTAAATACGTCATAAGCCGTTTGGTAAGAATAATTCTTACCAACTCTTAGGGCAGCTATGCGGCACAAGGCAAACAAAGCAACCTTAGCCTCTCTACTTTATACCCACCGAAGGGCCACCCAAAACATGGCGAACAATTAATACACATATTATTACCATATATAAATAAATTACATAAAATAAAGTAAAAAAGAAATGATAAAATCACTAAATGTATAGTAAATCAACAATTATACCCTCGGTACTACCGTCAGCTTGTAATCGGCGAACTAGTTCTTCAGCGACATCAGCTGAGCTCATCTGAGCACTTGGGATCTGAAACCAGTATATTCAACTGTGTTGGAAAATATCCACACGATCAACTACATGTGTCGGTGACAACATCAGAATTTTGCGGAAATTTTGGGAAATTGTCGTTTTTTAACGCTCTCCAAATCGGTATGTAAACTCCCATAATTAGTGAGAAGACTCCTGAGAACAGCTGACATATATTCCAACAGCGAATATTCTTTTCGAGTAAACTTGGACTCGGAAATCAGAGCACTTCAACAAACTCAAATCTCTTTAGAAAAAATCATTCCTGAGCTTCTTACACACGAAACCGCCAGGGGCTATTCGAGAGCCTCCTTTGATACTACCTTAAAAATGATACTGTCAACACAGTCTCCAGCGGAACTGAAGTAAGTGTCCGACATAGCACCTGAGACATCCTTATAAAATTTTCCGATTTTTCTCACGAAAGTAAGAAATTTTACGCGAAATCTTGACTTTCTTTGAAAAAAATCAACGACATTCCATCAGAATTCTCCCATTGTCATCAACACAAGCGCAATATAATGGAGTTTCACCCTAGTGATATGAAAAACACTAGTGAGAAATATATTTCACGACTACTCACAGAGTATTACACCACTTCACGTAAAACGGTGAAACTCCACTAGTGTTACGAGAGCCTATATACAAAATTTCACCGCCATTTAAACTCTAGGAAAAGCAAAACGGACCCCTTAACATTGCGCATACTGCAATTAGCCATGCATGACTCGGTACCTGGTTGAATCGTCAACACTCCACATCCCAGAGATCGACATTCGTGTGCTAGTGAACGGCCGAATTGAGTGAGATAAGACTTAGCACTGAAATACCTAGAAGGAAGCCACATACTACGACACAGACAGAGAGGCTGCTGCCCTACAGAGAGTTGCCACTGCCCAGTGATTCACCAACAATAGAACTGACGAGGCAAAGTCGTCCTCGTTGCTTCGGAACAAAATGTTCAGTCAGGAAATACCTGCAAACATGCTATGCTCATTGGCTATTACGGACTCGTTAGTCGTGTTGGGAGAGTTGTCGAGATCATCGTGCTGGAGTCGTTTGATGTAGCACTCCCGTAGTATCAGCTTGGAATTTTAATAATCGCAACAGCATCATATAGACTAATTCTAGCAGTGGAGTTTTACCCTAGTGATATGAAAAACAATAGTGAAAAACATATTTCACGACTACTGCATATCACCGCGAATATCGCGTTTTTCACCGAGTTTTACGCCGCCACTTCACGTAAAACGGGTGAAACTACAGTGTTGCAAAAATATACGTTCGCTCTCCTCAGCTGAGCACAAGAGCGCCCGAAGCTAACTATAGGAGTTTTTATACGAAATCGGGTAGAACTGTACAAAAACCAATAAGAATTTCTTCATAATTTTCATAATGTCATATGCATATTTTCCAACACTAATTCCAAGTCTTATTACTGTGAAAGGAAGGTCTGTTGCTCTACGTTGATACCTGGGGGCAAACTTCCTATCCAACAAAAGGCGACTGAAATCATTACCCAACATATCGCGTACTTTCTCCTTAGAAACGTTGAC